GTATAGAGCCAAGGAAACAATCAAATTAGAAGCCCACCTTCAAATAGTATCGAGAAAAGTGGTTTCAATCCGTAAATCTTTTATTAGCCTTAAAATATATGTTTATATTTAATTATAAAATTTAAAGCTTTAAAAATAGTGTAGATCGAGCAGATCTATGAAAACTTGAACAACTTAAAAATTGATGGTCCAAAATGCCTTACAAAGTGCACTATTTCCAAAACTTAAAATCCATTTTTTTTCTCAAGTCCATGCATCTTGATGTCGAGATATTTGGGTATCAAAACAACCTCTTCTAGTGAAATTTTTGAAGATATTTGGGCATCAAAGAAATTTTTGAGGTAGGCTCTAATTTGATTGTTTAGAACCTAGGCTCTATATTAACTTTTCCCTTTATTTAATCATGCTTTAAATGTATAGTGATGATTACTAGTTCTTTGAAACCCAAATAATGATTCTTGTGTCCAGTGATGATTACTAAACACAAGCCAGAAACCCTTGGTTTGAGAAAATGAATAGACTGGCTAGTTCAACTTAGAACCGGCTGGTTAAATCGGAACTAGGCACTGGCTGATTCGGTTTTGGTGGTTAGGTCGAGTATTTTAAAAAATTAATATATATATATATATATATAGGAAAACACTACGCAACACTTATAGGCAAAAATGAATAGTGATTTTGCTTATTCCCATCATCGTCCAAAATTCATCGTGCAGTCATGATTGTCCAGTAATGTTTAATTTTTCATTTTCTTTTACAAATCGGAATGATCTGAAATTTCGAGTGTGTATTCATCAAAAATAGGGGAATTTTCAAAAAATATAAAAAAAACATATTTTACATGAAAAAATTTGACCAAAATGCCCCCAAAATGTTTTGGGCATATTTTGGTCAACTTCATTTTCGAGGATAATTTTTTTTATATTTTTATTAGATGCGTCTCAGTAAGACATGCATAACCTTCAAATTTCAAGTCATTCCGATTTATAAAAATAAAATAAACAATAAAACACTTCCAGACAATCGTGACCGCGCGATGAAATTTGGACAATGATGAATGTAGACAAAATCACTATTCATTTTCGCCTATAGGCATTAGGAAGATATATATATATATAATCCCAAAAAATAAGGATTTTGATTGTAATGATGTTTTGAAAAAAAAAATTATCATTTCAACAAAGATTAGAAAGTGTTTTGGCCATTTCACATCTTTTTTGAAAAATTTCAAAAATACCTTAGGCACAAATCGATTTTTAAAAAAATAAATGAATTTCACTATTTTTCAACTTCATTTGAATGTGTTTTATTTAATTGTACTTTAAATGTACAGAGATGATTACTAGCCCTTGGAAACCCAAATAATGATTCTAGTGTCCAGCGATGATTACAAATAACTTGGACCGGTGTTTGCAAACTCGTCCAATCCAACTCGGAACCAGCCAGTTAAGTTGGAACCTGGCACTTGCTAATCCGGTTTTGGCCAATTATGACGGTCTAGCCGAGTATTTTTAAAAAAATCAAAAAAATAAATTTATAATCCCAACAATTAAGGAATTTGATGGTAATGTTTTGGCCATGCCCCTGGGCACAAATCGATCTTTTAGAATCTTTTTTTTTCACTATTTTTCAATTGTTTTATTTAATCATGGTTTAAATGAAGTTTTTATTTTTTTTAGATTTTATTTTTATTTTTTTAACACATTTTGGACCGGCCAGGACCTGCCCGGTTAGGCCGGTTGAACCGGACGGTTTACTGGTTATTTGGACATGGCCCTTGGCTGGTTTTTCAAGCTGGTTTGATTTTTCGAACACTGGGTTAGGGTTAGAGACATACTGGCTCAAAAAGCCGAAGAAAATGGCTGCAAGTATCAATTTAAAGCCTCTTAGGTTAAAGAACCACACAAGCACCACACAAGCTGTGTTTTCACCCAATTTAAGCTTCAAAATTCAGTAAGGAACAAGTCAATAATAACACTTCAGGAGCCCAATCTTCCTTTCAAGGAAACCAATATGCTGATTGCCACAAAGCTTATAGGCCAAATTACGCCTCAAATCTTACTTTATAAGGAACCAGGAACCCTGATGTTGATTTTGAAAATTTGCTTTAAAAAAGGTTGGCTATATGTTCTAGAAAATCCAAATACTAACCTTAGTGTCAATCATCATGATTGGGATATTCCCGATGAAGGTTTCATCGGGATATTGTTACCCTTGTCATTTTAATCAGGAATTTATCAGATAATGACTTGGACATTATTATATTTATATTAATCTACATAAATTATATAGTAAGAAATAAATTTGTAGCAAAATTTATAAATATGAAATCAAATTATATACAATAAAAATATAAATATGTTAAAAAAAATATCAATAATGAAGTCAATAATAATTTCTAATGTTATATTTGAAGTAAAATATCAAAACTGATTATCCACCTTAATAGCTTTAACTTACATATATGGTATCGATTCCTTGCAAATTGCTCCACATTTTTGTTATTGATATTTTAAAGCTATTTTACGTAAATAAATATTTCTTTTCAAAGTTAATTATTAATTTTGCCTTCCCTCGGGAAATCTTTTTATCTGATAACGGGATTCTTTATGATATCATGATAGATTCATTTTGCTACGATAATATCGAAGTTATTAGCAACAATAAAATTTATTATGGGAAAATGAAGAAAGTTTTAATTTATTGGAGATAATTGTCATGAGATAAAAATTGTTCTAAGCATCCATAGCACTTTTCCTAACGGACCCCAAAGCAAACACTCAAAGGGCCATATAGGGGTTAAAACCAATCTAGAAGAGCAAAAATGCTATAGAAACTCCAAATGCTATTCTTCCAAGTAGAATTTTAATAATTAGAACATCAAATTATGGTAAAACATTCATCCTATTTGCTGATATGTTTTGATGGACTTTCAGCTTGGAAGAAAATTTCAAAATGGGCGGTTGTAAGAGTGTTATTGAATAGACACAAAGTTTTAAAAAAAATTCTCAGATTTCATGACTTACCCCAAGCCATTCAATTTGACATCCAATGAGTGGGAATGATTGTGATGATATATGGTCTGATTGTAGACAATTTCTTGATATTGAGGGCCGAGGATATTGTCAAACCTTGATTATGAAGGTTGAGGCTAAATCGAGGCTTTTTTTTATATAATGTGTATGCGGTTGGGTCATTTAGAAAGCCTTCCCTTTATTCAAACATAGCATATATGTAACATTTAACCTAACCTTTATAGCTGGTTTTGGCTATGCCACGTTTTTTTCTATCTTATTGTGTTTGAATTTGGATGATGAACTAAATAGCGCGATACGGCTTTCCTATTTTTCTCTCCGTACCCCACATTGTAGTACATTTTTCTCTCTATCATATTCTTGCTCCCACACCTATATCTCTCCCTTAGTTTTGTTTATTTTTTTCTAAGAATATTTACTTTCGGTGTAAAAAATCAAAATCACTCCAAACTAGTGTTTTAAAACCGGGAATTAGTGGGATGGATCGTTTATTCATGTCAGATTATTGGATTGGTGATCCAAATCAGGTCTAGATCAATCTGAATCAGTGATCCAAAAAAATTAAAAATAAATAAATTAAAATTTATATTACTATTAAATTTAATTTATGGGATGGGAATTTAGAGAAGATCTAAAAAAATATTAGATAAGATTAAGATGAAAATATATATAATGGGGGCCTTTGGGGGAACGGGGTTAGAATCCATATATAATGGGGGCCTTTGGGGGAACCGGTTTGGACCCGTCTTATCTTTATGTGCATTAGAAATCGTCGTGTTTTAAAACACTAGTATATGTAAACCTTTTCTTAAAACATAACATAGATAATAATTAATAATAACAATATACATAACACGTAATAATTAATAATAACTATATGCACGCATATGAAGTGTATGCTATACAATGCACAAGCAGGCCGTCTGCCGTCCATTCTCAAGATAGGTGGTGAAGATTCAAGAAACACTACGGTTCACCTCTGCCGTTCATCTTGGAAATAGGGAGTGGATTAGAGAGACAAACCTTTTCTTCTTTTTATTATTTTGTGGGGTGTCTGGGTATGGCGGGATTTGAACCTTGGACGTCGTGCTGCGGCTTCTTATCGCCTGAATCCTGGAAAAACCAAATATTTTCCACTATTAATTGTATGAAAAAGCCAAGACGTAGATAACATAACATGGTAAAACATGTATAAGAAAACATAGTTCGTATCATATACATTAGGACGTGGAATGTGAAAGCAAAGCACAATCCAAAATGTGAATAATCTTATTTCTTATTTATGTTAATAACCCTCTCTCTCCCTCAAGTTTGAAACGGGTTTGTTAGCAATATTACTTCTCTTGTTCGATTCTTACGGCTGAACTTCCACAAAAAAAAAAAAGTGACATAGAATAAGGTTAGGAACTAGTTCTACTAGATATATTATGGGGTTATATGCTATGAGATCATATATCTTTGTTATAAAGATGTCAAATTGAATGGTTTGGGATTTGTTATAAAGTTTAAGAAATTTTTTTTTAACTTTGAAACCAGTCGATGATACTCTTACTACCGTAAGATTTGAAATCTGATAGACAAGGGTGACTGTCTTGTATCAAAAATAAATGATATTTTTTATACTCTTCCATATTTTATACACCTTTTGGTTAAGCATTTAATAAAAACCAAAAGGTTCAACAAGGGAGCATATTGTCCATTTACTTCATTGGGGCAAAACCCAATCTAGGAGTATTTTTAGGATCCCAAATTTTGGGGATGCAACCTTTTCAAACCATATCCTATTAATAAGTCAAAATTCTAAATTTTAACCTCTATGGGTTTGAAAAAAATAATGCTGCAAGATTGAATAGAAACTGTCCAATTTTAAAGTGCGGGATCTACGTATTCAAAATTCCAATTTTTCTTTCGGATATAATCATCAAACAGCTTTAGGTGAATAAAAAAAAATATTCTCAAATTAGACTTTTGTCTAAAGGTGGAAGCATACAGTATGCTTCCATGGTAGCGCTGTTCAGTTAATAGGATGGATGGTGTTAGAGATGAACCTGGTCATATTTTGAGTGGGTTCCCGAACACCTTCCATGGATTGAATGAGATGAGAGGGATATATAGGTGGAACTAGGTTTCATTTTTCAAAATCATAGTTACTAAAGTAGGCGGTTCGACTGTTATCTCTAAAGCAAAAACAAAAAACAAAAAACAAAAAAAAATTGCTTCAGCTCTTTGTATTCAATAACGGATGGTTGATATTCCTTGCAGCATATTGAATAACCGCCTAAAACAGATTGCATATAGCCAGATAGCCTAAAACAATTGCATATACACTAAAGAAAAAGACATTTACAGACAGCGAGAATGGCACACCTGCGTGCGTTGTTCTTTCCATTTAGTTGCTATTCTCACATGCCAAAAGGTGAGTTCTTCCTCCACGAACCCCATTTAGGATCTCTCGGGGAAGAGAGAAAAAGAAATGTAAGAGAGCTACAGAGAGACCTTCTGGAAAGAAGAGAGGGTGATAACAGAAAGAGAGAGGGCTAGAGTTCTAGAGGGAGAGAGAGAGCTATGGTGGGCGAAAGACGTACCCATTCACCAGCTTTTTATAGTTGATCTTCTTTCATATTTGAGAGAGAGATTATGAAACTAAACATTTTACTTTTAAAATTTGAAGGTTAAAACGATTGAAATACCCCTCTATTGCTTTTACTTTAAACTGTTAAATTCTTTCATTTTTGGGCGAGACCAACCGTGTTTAATTACTCTGCTTCCATGCCGAATCAGCCACTGGCTGTACCGGGTTATTTGGGAGCGTTTTGAGTCGATCAGAAAGCAACCTAATGAATCTAAAAAAAAGTCCAGAAAAAACAAAAGAGCTTTTTTTAGAAAAATAAAAATTTTAAAAATATAAAACATAGACAAGATGAAATATAATGAGAAACTTAATTATAAATAAAATATATTTACTTATATGTTGAATTATACACTCCTTAGATTTTAAGTATGTTTCAAACTTTCGATGATAAGCATCCTTCTAAGGCTGGGTGAGTCTACTTACAAGGGTATTTTCGCCAATAAACCATCCTTTAAAACCTCTTAAACTTGAGGGCCGGCGATAATATAAATTTTAATTATAGAGATTAAGGCTAAACCCAGGCTTTTTATTTCCAAATACCCCAGTAAACATGGTAAATATGCAACATTGAAGCTAGCCCGTTTATGGCTAATTTTGGTAGGCATATATCTTCTATGCTTAACTTAGGATTATGCATTAAATTGAATTAAAAGAGACCCATATCCTCTCACCTCCGCCCCAATTTTTGGTAAGTCTTCTCTCTCTTATTAAGTTCTCTCTCATTCCTTTGGCACGCCTATATCTTCCTGTATCTCTCCCTCTTTTTTTCTTTTTTTTTTACCCCTCTCTCTCTCTCTCCACTTTATTCCTCTGCGCTGGCAGTCCTTTTTCCCAAGCTTACCATTCCCTGTACCTAACATTATTTTCCCCTTAATTAAGTAGTAATGGTGGTATCCTATGGACAAAACAATTGAACAAAGATTCGCAATCCTCGTATTTAAATTTGAATTTACCGTCTTAATAGCATGATCTGGTATTTATATGGTCATGAGGGCGCATACTGTACAATAACTCGCTTGGAGAAAGATGATGGCTCATGGTCTAGAGAGAAAAAGAGTATGGTTGGAGAGAAATGAGTTAAAAGAGTATTGGAGAGGAAAAAAAAAAAGGAGAAGTGAACTCATAAAAGAACAAGATAAGTGAAATTTTAGCCTAAAACTTCCTATTCATATTAACAAATAGGAAAGTACCGCAGTAAGTTGGAATATCCAGCTACTAGAGTTAGAAATTCCAATTGTCAAATATAGCCCAAAGTGTTTTACATAAACTTGTCTAGGCTATTGGAATGCAGAGGCCATGCTATTGTAATGCTTTTAGGGCTATGCAATCCCCTCAACAATGAAGGCAAAGATAAGTCTAGGATTCTTTATAGTTTAGCAGACGTCATGTTGTAGTGCTCAAACACTTGTAGATGAACCCTTCGATAATGGAATTATACTTCATAAATATACTTGTAGATGAACCCTTCGATAATGGAATTATACTTCATAAATATATATTTTAGGACAGGACATGTGGAGGAAGGATAACTCATCTCGTGCAAAACAGAAGCTAAAAGCATTGTGCAAAAACCAGCAGCTAAAGGCATAAAATAAATTAGGCCTAACATTCATGCTAGCCAGGAACATCAAATTTGTATATTATATTGCATTTTATATATAAAGTCATTACAACATATTGTTCAACATTCAACAAGCAATATCGCACATCCGCTATATACAGATTGAAATCTCCAAGGTTGGATGGCGAGGGAGAGAGATTAGTATGAAATATATTAATAATTTAATTTTAAGAAATATTATTTAAGGGGTTCAAATCTCTTACAAAATAATTAACGAGTCAAAGGCTCCCAATTAACATTTGAGAAGTTGCTTTAATTGCTAACCACTTAAGCCGAAGCCCAATTCTTAAAAAATCGGATAGGTTATTCAGGTTTTTAAGGCAAACTTCAAATATTTGAACCCTTAGCCTCCCAACACCCAAACTGATGTGTTTACCACTAAGTGAAAGCGTAAGGGACACACTAATAATAAAGCAATATCCCATTCCAAATTGAACTAGAGGCGGATGACATTTATCTTTACCATGACCATATGGATTATATGATCTAGTGAACCGAATAATTCATCTCAAGCACAAATTTTCGAATTAGCGATTCTTTTGGTTGAAGTATCTAATCGTTGTAGCTGAATATGGTTAGGTTTGCATAATGTTGCAACTTAAACAATCAAAGGCACACTTCTAAATTTTGTCATGAGATTGAGATTTTTAGGATGACTCGAGAATCTATCTTCATCTCTAATTATAAAATTTTAAGCTCTAAAATTGGTTCAAATCAGGCAGATCTATAACCGCATGAAAATCTTGAAAATTGACAGTCCAGATAATGTGTTGCGAGATGTACTATTTTTAATATTTAAAATATTTTTCTTTTCTATATTCATACATCTTGATGTCGAGATGATCTTCCAACATCAAAATAGCCTTTTCCAATAGATTTTTAAAGTGCACCTTAATTCTACAATTTAAGGTGTTAATCTTTATAAACTTTTCCCACTTGAAATTCAACCGAACCCGTTTTTCTTCTATTGATATAAGATGATAGACACATATTTATGTTCCTTTTCCACAACTCGTGCTTTTTATTGCTTTCCCTCTACGTTACGTTACGTTACTGCAAGACTCGCATAGGAGATTTTCTTGTATATCATTTCCCTCATTTATTGGAGCATGTTTTGTCGGAGATTGACATCAATTTCTTGAGGTCTTTTGTTATTTCAAGAGTTTAAATTTCTTCAAAAATCTCCAGAGACGAAATTTGAAAAAGATTGATGCGGTCTTTGATCATGGGGACGGCACTTGACCACCCAATTTTACATTAGAGTATTCTTAACCACTCAAATTTACATCAAATGGTTTGGGGTGATTATGAGTTTATCTACCAAAAATAACGGATACTAGTGCATGAGAAAGTATTCTTAACCACTCAATTTCACATCAAATGGTTTGGGGTGATTATGAGTCTATCTACCAAAACTAACTGATATAAGTGTATGAGAAAGTACAAAATAAGACTATTTACTTTTGGCATAAAATTTCATGAACATCCCCATCCGTTAGATGTGGAATTGGATGGCTAGGAATGTGTTCCATTAATTTTGCACAATGTTCAAGAAATTTTTTCTCAAGGTTTGAGACATATGCTTAGCTCCAAATTTCAAATCTAATGGCTATAAGTGATCGTAATTTTATTGTATCAAAGATAAATAGTCTTGTAGCGTATATTTATATTCCTTTTCGAAAGAATTAAATATTGTTGGAGGTGATGGGGTCTCAATGGATTAAACCCCTAACTAACCTGCAAAGTAGCTACATGTGGTTCAAGAAAAGACTATCATTAATCAATTAGAAATCCAAAACAAATATATTTACATTTTTATAACATGTATTTGGAAGAAAGAAAACACAAATTTCAACCTTGCAATAATAACTTCCTAAAAACAAAAAAACAAAAAAAGAAAACAAAACAAAAAAAAAAACTCACAATAATAACAAAGTTCAATAATTAAAGTTATTAAACGTCTTAAGCCTTGGGACGTTTAACTATCAAAACTGGGCATTTGGTGTTGTTAGCACAGTGATTGCTCACACTCCCAAGAAAAGCCCTGCAATATCAAACCCCAAAATCTTATAAGTAAGAGAGCAATGGAAAAGATAACATAGAAGTAGCTTCTTCGAGTGTTACATTGTTTATTAGCCTTCTTCTCTAATGTTTAATTGTCTAGAATAACCTATGGGTATTAACATTCAGTTAATAATATTAACAGTACTTACCTAAAAAAATTAGATTAATAGTGGGCATAGATGTTTTAATTTATTAGATCAACAATCGATTAAGTACCTTTTGAAGGCACCATAACCATGGCTTCCCATGACCAGCAGATCTCCTCCAAGCTTTTCAACTTGCTCACATATCACTTCCCTTGCATCTCCACACCCCAATTTTGTCTCAACCGTGACCTGTTTCATAAAAAAGTCCTAATAAAATAAAATCCCTCCACATAAGCTCTTAAATATATATGTAGAAATACGGATTGCATACTATAAGACAGTTAAATATTGGTACAAAGAAGCCGCAATCACTCATTGCTGTATATGCGATATCTGATGGCTTTCACTTTAGTAGTATGATAACATTTGAAAATTTACTTTTTTTAGATTTTGAGCTTCTTCAAATGGACACCCCCAACCTCCTCAATTGCATACCCAATTGCCAAAGTTGATTGTCACCTTGTAACACATATTGAGTGTTTTATTATATACTTTTACATGGACATATAACCAAGTACCTGAAAGAATGTAGAATGTATGTCTTATGATGAAGTCTCGGTCTCCGTTCTCACCAAATTTAGAATGTTTTTTTTTTTTCTTTTTTCTATGTACACCCCATCAGACTCGATCCCAGTAAAATTGTAATATCAGTTGTAGACTATTCTATTTACCTTTCATTTTTTGAGATCTTGTCATTTCAGGCTAACCCTTGCTTATTTTCTTTCACAATTGCTATGAATAAATGACAACAAATAAAAAAAAGTAAAAAAGATCTTACACGTGAAGAGCTTTGACATATCATTTTCGCTTTCTCCAGCACTGCTTCAGCCAAATCCTTGCTATATTTATCCATGGTTGCCATTATATCAGAGGAGAAAATATATCCTACCAAAAAGGAAAAGGCAAAATAATTATAAAAAAAACAGTGTAGAACCGAATTTACAAGCTGAAAATCAAAAGTGCTTCTCTAACATTCAAAAATCAGGGGCATGGCCCAGTCCATTTTGCTTGGCTCCGAACAACTTGAACCCAGACTACTAAATTTGGCCTAAGGACCAGGCCAGGGCCTCATATCTAGGGTCAGTGCTCGTCGTCTTCTTTGTTTCATTATGGATTTAGAAAATATAATGGGCGTACTAGTGTACAAACCCTGTGTCCTGTGCTCATTTTCCAGAACTACCAATATGGTCTTAGAGAAATAGAAAATTATATCACATGATGAGCATTATATATTCACACATGGAGGTCAAGGTCGGGATCGACCAGTGGATGTGAAATTACGCGGCTGCATTTGTTTCATTCACTACATTCAAATTTCGAATTATCATTTACCTTTTGTATAAGGAGCATTTGTTTCATTCACTACAATCAAACTTCGAATTACCGTTTACCTTTTGTACAAAAAGGTAATAGACATTATTGCCCTTTAGATTTCAAAATGGACGGTTGTTCTAAATTTTTTAGATTATAATCGATCCAATTTGACATCTAACTTGGGAACATAGTTGCTGACGTCCTTGTACATCTAAAGAGTGAAAATAGTTGCGACTTCCTTGTAGAAAATAAATGATCACTTTGTAGAAAATCCCACTCTAACAATGTCTAACCTCGATGGGTCCACAATTGAAAGATAAGAATTGGGTGAACTGCTTTATAAGGAAATAACAAATCCCAAAATTGCCCTTCAATCTATGAGCACAAAATCATAGGCACGTTACCTGTTCCATCCAATGCAGGGTATACAGGAGGGGATGGCCTGACATTTAAGAGAATGATGGTGTCTTTTGAGGACTCTGAAATTAGGTTTTTCAGGCACCATGAGAGCGCATACTTGCTCTCCTCGCTCTCATCCACTGCTACTACAATCCTCCTCTCCATCGAACCAATAAACCCTAAAAACAGAGAAAAAAAAAAAAGAGAATTCAGAGTAAGGGTAAAATGGTAATACTAGCACCCATCTCAGAGCTTTGAAGCCATGGCTATAGAGGGATAATGACGATTAACAGTAAATAATCCTAAGATATATTCTGATGAAGGGCAAAACAGTAAATAATCGGAAGAGAGACCTTGAGCTCAGACGTACCTGTACCAAAGAAAGAGATTGAGCTTTGCAAAGGAGGGTAAAATGATTATTAACTCCTGCGATCTTTGAGCTTGGTAGCTTTCATGGCTTTTTTGTGTGAGAAATGAGGCCTTATATAGAGGTTGGAACCTCAGCGGTGCTAATGGTTTCGGAAACCACGGCCGTTGCCGGAATCACCTGAAGATTTTCTCATTACTAAAATACCCTCTACTTTCCAATGGATAAGCGTAAAGCAGTCGTTGACATATATATGCTCAAATAAATAATTAGTTGCCAATAACGTTTAGGGTTTGGTTCGGAACTTGGCTTATTTTAATCGTGCATTCTTTTCTTCTTTGGTAAGAGTGAGTTAATCAGAGTTATCTCTTTCTTTTTTAACATCCCTTTTGTATAGATATTTTGCTTAAAAAATTAAGCTTGTTGATCCAGGCCTTGCTTGTAGTTGTTGTAATTAACCTTATATTCTTGATTGATCAATGATTTGGGGATCTACTATAATCCAATAGAGGCATGGAAAACTATTGGTCATATAGATCAATTGAGCCAATGATGGCCCCAATATGGGCAAATCATGGATTACTGCCACTAAGCATGATTCTTGTTCTATCTTTCTTTCATCTTGTAGTGTTACTTCCATTCACTTTATGAGAGCCCACATTTCACCCATGTTTGTAATGTATTTTTTAATGTTTTTTATCATTTCGGCAAACATTAAAAAAGTGTTTTGGGCATGAATACTTATTTTTACCTTTATTCTAACTTTTGTTTAAAAAATTTCAAAAATACCCCTACGCACAAATCAGTTTTTAAAAATCCTTTATTTTTACTACTTTTCAACTTCATGGGATGTATTTTGTTTAATCATGATCTTTACTTTTCATTTTTTTTTATATTTTTTCTATTTTTTTTTAAAAAAATTCAAAAATACCTCTAAACACAAATCGATTTTTTAAAATCTTTTTTTTTTACTACTTTTCAACTTCGTTTGGATGTGTTTTGTTTAATCATGATTTCAATTTACTTTTTATATTTTTTAGGATTTTTTACATTTTTCTTATCTTGTTTTTTAAATTTCAAAAAACACCTCTATACACAAATCGATGTTTTAAAATCTTTTTCTTCTTCTACTTTCAACTTCATTTGGATGTGTTTTGTTTAATCATGATTTACATGTACTTTTCATCATTTTTAAGATATTTTTATTTTATTTTATTTTTTAACACTTTTTAGACAGGTCTGGACTTACCTGGTTAAGCTGGTTGAACTGTTCGGTTTACCGGTTACTCAAACCCAGCCCTTGGCTGGTTGTCGAGGCCGATTCGATTTTTTGAACACTTTGTTAGACTCATGCTCATTAGACACATACTGACGCAGAGAGCCAAGTCAAGAATAAAATGGTTGTAAATATCACTTTAAAGCCCTAATTCTTGAAAGAAATACCTATGTGATCTTTTACGGGGTAATACATTTTTTATTTTTTATTTTTTTATTCACCCTTTTTTTTTGGCAAAATATCATTTACATGTGGTCTTTATTATAATAAGATAAATTTCAAAATAAAATCAACATAACAATAAAACCAAGATATTAACAACTTGATGCCATTGAAACAATTATGCACTATGCTTGAAAATAAACGATAAGATTGTAAGAAACAAAACGAAGAATGTCGGATATTACCTTAGTCGGGCTTATTACACCCCACACCGAGTCACCACCATCCGATGGTGCGAGATCAATGATCTAGCTTCAGTTTCGAACCAATAAAGCAAATTTCGGCCAAGCTACACCAATAGAACATGAACCCCTTTGATCACAAACTCAAACTCTAAGTGAATTCTCTTAGTAACTTAGTTTGAGAGAGATGGATTCTCTTTTTGCTAAACCCTAAAACCTTAGCCATAAATTCATATTCGAGAGATAGGAGAGATAATAAGTTTATAACCTAAACCCTTAAGTTCTTTCACAATGTGGGAGAGATAGGAGAGAGAAGAAGTTTATAACCTAAACCCTTAGGTTATTTCACAATGTGGAAGAGAGAGATCAAACATGTCAAAGATAAACTTTCTTAAGTGAGAGAAATATAAAGATAAAGTGTAGAGATTTTTTGGTAGAGACAATCCATTTTTATAGGCTTTGAATAAGCTTAGGGTTTCTCAAGGTTTTATTTGCCTTGCCTCTTATTGTGAGATTGAACATAGACCGTCAATCAATGGTGACTTGTGGGATGAAAGATCTGAGCCATCCATTTCATATATAGGCCATCAACATTATGGAAGGTGCATGAACCATTATCCTCATTTCTTAAACCATTTTCCCATCAATAGAAAATAATAAATTAAATCTAATCAAAATATTGTGTATACTATAAAATAGCACAAGTATACTCAATCTTTCCACAAAATATTTCAAAGATTTATCAAGTCAATATTTAATCAATATCTTCCAACCATATGGCCACATACTATATCACCAAAAAAATAGAAAAGATAATAAGGGTGGGGCGTGCCACCCAATGGAGGCACTCATGGGCCCCACTTTCTAAAAATATGGCGGGCCTATGTGCACAATGGGCTCCCATGAAATTTTTATATATTTAAAATTAATAAAAAGATTTTAAAATATTATTTGAGTATTTAAAAAATTGTAAAATCAATATCTTTAATTTTATAAATGGGCTCTTATGATATTTTTATATATTTAAAATTAATAAAAAGATTTTAAAATATTATTTGAGTATTTAAACAATTGTAAAATCAATATCTTTAATTTTATAAATCCAAAAATTATAAATAAAATATTCAGGGGTTCATAAAAATTCAAATAATAATCTTAAAATAATTTTCATCATAAAACAAACACAATTATATTAATTTAATAGGAAAATGATCCATATGGCTTAAAAATCAACGAAGGTGGGGCACTCCACCTTCAACTGTGGACTACAGACCACACTTGCTTTATTAGACCGACCAAGTGTTTTTCATGACCCACAGTCAAAGCAGGAGCTCATTAGCAGGTCACTAAAGTCCGACTGATGAACTAAGGGATCGTAATCCCAATATGTGGATTTCAGGTCATTCAAACAAGTCAATGTCACCGAGACTTTATGCGACCACAGCTCTATGACGCATAGGGTATCTGTCGCATATGCATATGCTTCACCCTAAAACGTGGATTTCTAGCTTTCCCCAACAATCTATCAATATGCATATCGTATGATGGTACATGGATGAGGTTTTGGCCCATGTCTCTGTAGGCCACCATCACACACAAGGGTCACACAGTCCCTCGGCTCACTCATCTGGGCATGTTCTCTGACCTCATCAAGAGCTAACCCATAAACCCTCATCGGTTTGTTTTTCATGCCCAAGTAACATGGGTTTTTTCTAACCGACTAATATAGATCGTTAAGCACATATTGGTATCAGCAAACCATCGTTTGTTTAATATGATCCACGAGGGACCATACTCCCACTGAGTTCATGTTCCACTATATTATTTCATTTTATAAGCACTCATAAGGCCTTTAAAGGCTACATGAACCCAACAATTCATAGTTTAAAGAACGCAAAAGCACTACACAAAACTTTGTTTTCACCCAATTTAAGCGTCAAAATTTAGGAGAAATACAAGTCAACAATAACAATTGAGGACCCCAATTTTCCTTTTAAGGAAACCAAAATGCTGATAGGTTAACCATATGTTTTAGAGAATCCAAATACAAACGTGTGTCAATCATGATGATTGGGATATTATGGATCGAGGTTAATTAACAATTTATCGGATAATTACTTGGACATTATTATATTAAACTAAATAAATTATATAATAGTAAATAATTTTTTATTGAAATTAATAAAAAATGAAATCAAATTATATACAATAAAATATATAAATATATTAAAACTTTTACTAATGACAGTCAATAATAATTTCTAAAGTGTATTAGAATTAAAATATCAAAACTCATTATCCACCTTAATAGCTTTAACTTACATATCTATTATCAATTCCTTGCAAATTGCTCCGCATTTGTTATTGATGTTTTAAAGTTATTTTTAGGTAAATGAATATTTATTTTCAAATTTAATTGCTAATTTTCCATTCACCGTAAATCTTTTTCATCTGATAATAACGGGATGCTTTATGATATCGTGCTATATTCATTTTGCTAAGATAATATCCAAGTTATTAACGACAATAAAATTTATTAGGGGAAAATAGAGAAAGTTTCAATTTATTGGAGATACTAGTCAATGAGATACAAATTATTCTTATCATCCATAATACTCTTTCTGACGGAACACTCAAAGGGTCGTATAGGACTCGCAACCAATCTAAAAGAACAAAAATATTATAGGGTTAGGATCAGGGTGGTAGCACCCCCACACCCTATTCACCACGCTGTGGTTTTTATTCTTCGTGATATTATTTTATTAATAATTTCAATAAATTAATTCTTAAATTATTTAAAAAATTTCAAAAAATGAATTCCTAAATTATTTGAAAAAACGGTTAGAGTTTGTCTTCTCTATTGAATTACCAAAAAAACTCAAAATGCTAATCTTCGGACTATAATCTTTAGAAGTAGAACGATGGTAAAACAATCAACCCATTTGTCAATATGTCTTGATGGATTTTCAACTTGGAAGGAACTTAAAATCCTCCAAAACATGATTTTTAAAAAAAAAAGTTTTAAAAATGCTAATCTTCTCACTATAATCTTTAGAAATAAAACATCAAATGATGGTAAAACAATCAACCCATTTGTCACTACGTTTTGATGGATTTTCAACTTGGAAGAAACTTAAAATCCTCCAAAACATGATTTTTTAAAAAAAAAGTTTTAAAAATGCTAATCTTCTCACTAAAATCTTTAGAAGTAAAACATCAAATGATGGTAAAACAATCAACCCATTTGTCACTACGTTTTGATGGATTTTTAACTTGGAAGAAACTTAAAATGCTCTAACACATGATTTATAAAAAGAAAAAAATGCTTTATGAGTCAACTGTCACCAGCCCGCTTACTTACAAATGTTCATCTTTGAGACGAACGTCCACAACTAAAGATTCCTATCCAATGGATAGGAAATTTTGTAACAAAAATGTTTTATTTTTTATTTTATATTCATGATCATCATAGTGTAAATAATGGATCTCTACAAATTGGGTCTAAGATTTATATAAAAAATGGGAGCTAGAGGGAGCCCGCATCAGAATAG